TTCGTGTTAAAAACTGCAAAGCACAAAGGGAAGAGAAATTGATGCGTAGTGTATTATATCTGTGCAACAGTTATTGAGCCTTTCTTTTAACAGTTTTAAATTTCAGTTACTGTGCACGTTAAAAACAATTTATAGTCTTTTCTACGCCCGTGTTTTGTTCTCACAGACATCCGGTAGCAAGTAACAAAACAACATTAAACTCTGGCAAGAAGATAAAGTCCTTTTTGCAAAATCATAGACATGTATTTACAAATCAAGTATAATGGGAACACAGAATGATCTTGGCGAGAGCTTTACCGAGCTGACTGCTGTAACCCGAACGCGACCAGGATTTAAAGGCTGAACAAATGACTGACAGCCACAGCGGAGAAAATAGTTTGTGTGAACTTTAATGTAAGGACTTAAATATTCATATGTAGCTCACATTAAGCTATTGTATGGCTTCAGAAGTAACACAGAATAATTTGCACAATCTGAGAAAAAAAGAATAATAATAAAATCTCGGATTTGGATCGGCCCTCTCTGACCGATACCCGATCCGAGAAAAATAGCACTATCGGAGCCGATACCCGATATGAATATCGGATCGGCGCATCCCTAATCACAAATGCTCCAAACTTGAAAAAAAAGGTTATTTAGATAAAGATTGATAAAGGTTGTTTAAAACAAAATGTGGCCACTTACCACATAAAGTTATCTGTTTGTCATATCAAGTGAGACATCAGTAAGGGACCACACACCCCTTACTTTCTCATTGCTGTTCATAGTAAGTTGATATTTACAGTCAAATGCAAAACACATCTAACTTCCAACAAAGATAAAACGTAGGAGTCGGAGATGCTACATGTCCACGTAGCAACCGCAGTGTGCTCTCCACGTGGGCTAGCCTTGCATCCTGTGGCCATGGAAACGTGAGTTTGTGGGGATTTGCTATACAGCTTCTGTGTGTTGCATGAGTCACCAACAAGAACAAGCAAACTGTAGAGAGAAAAGACCACTAGCACGTAGTATCAGCACCCTGCGTACAAATCACTCACTAAAACATCTTTTATCACATTTATCAGGGAAAACATGCCATTTACAAAGACAAGGCATATAGGACAAACACACCCAACCCTTGCCTTATTAATAGCTTACTGCAATAAAAGGCCTGTATCTTCTCAGTCAAAGCAGGAGACCAGAGTTCAGATGACAGGGTGCCGCACAGACGGCATCTACAGTAACACACATCCCAGTATCTGGAGGAGATCAGCCAGACTGGGCCATCTGTACTGGAGTCTGTGTGTTTACTGTCCCACAGCACACACAGAAAAAGTGCTCCACACACAGAGAGAGATTTACATGACAGGTGTTGAGGCAGATAGAGGAGGAGCTGCTGGAAGGCTCAGATCCATGGAAACGTTCATATTGTGACAAGTAAACAGTAATCATGAGGATGTGCTTGTGGGTGAAGCACGCGCTGTCTTGAAATGTAAAGTAACTGTGACCTGTTCAAAAGTCTAGATGGCCCAGGTACCAGAGCTCAGAAAATAATCATGAAAATAATCTTAGGAAAATAAGAGAAGTAGTTTGTAAAAATTAAATTCTTGAAAATTCTTAAGTTCTAAAAGTTTTTTTTTTTGTGTGTTTTCTGATTGTATGTCTTGTCGATAAAAACTTCAACAGCTCTTTTTGCGCTGCCTATAGATTACTGTAGAAATTATAAGTGCACAAAAAAATGAATTTGGATAGTTGTTACTGAATTCAGCAAAAACTCACATAATGCATAATTAAGAACGATCTTTGTTTACACTATCGATCATTGATGTCACTTCAGAGAACTCATGCACATCCCTAGTAATAATAATATATATGTAGCTAGTGTTATGTTGTAAAGGTTAACATTTGAAGCTACAAATTCATTAAACATCTCACTTTTGGGGATTTGAGATAAGTTGGAGCTTATCCTAACTTTGAGAGGTTATTTCCAATGATTTTTAAGACCAATCTTTTCTAGATTTCTTGAAGTTCCTTCTTAGGTTTTGCCTTTAGAACAATTTTAAGAAAAAAAAAAAAAAGGAATAAAGAAATGTTTTTGGGAATACAAAATAATTTTACTTAATTGTTCAGCTAAAAATAAAAGAAAATGGCAGAAATTTATTCTTAAGAATGTTTTGTGAATTTGGCCCCAGAAACCAAATCTATGACATGAGAAAAAGTAATGAGTAAAGAGTAAAACATTAATATTTTCCAAATAACTGACCATTAAAAAAATGCTCAACACATGTGTTTATATATGAAAATCATATCAATTATCAATAAAGAGATTTTGGAGTTTTATTTGGGATCATATGATGTTCACAATGTTTGTCTCCGGTTCACATCACAAGACCACACTGTAACAACTGAAAAGCAGGCACAGAGTATGAACAGGAACAGGTACACACTGCTGTATCAAAGGGTATGCATTTATAAGGCTGAAAAACACAAGTAGATCTGTAAAGCATTAGGTCTAAAGGGGGTAAATGAATATAAGGTGCGTTTACTGGTCAGAGGTGAACACCGGGAAGTTGAGCTCGAGTTGTGCGACATGTAGTAACACTGACGCTACACTGTGCTCGATGACGACTGGTGCCGCCCATGTTTACCCAGAAAGACAGGTGACTGGCTCATGTTTCTGGTGCAAGTGTGTAACATTACAGAGACACGAAAACAGATGTGCATGCTGATCTAAAACAGTGCAGTTTAGTGCACGCAAACATTTACAATGACACCAAGTCTACACACTTTCTACCTTCAATAGTAAAGACAGAAATGCAGATCATAGACAGTGAGCGTCAGAGAGTGTGAGGGGCTCCCAGTGTTAATCTTCTTCCGGAATCAAACTCCCTGAGAGGGGCGGGGACAGGATGTGTGAGCCAGCTGCTCCCCAGCTCAAACAAAAGGAAGCACACTTTAGGCCGGTTTAAGCCCAGTCCAAATCAAGAGCATAATCTCATGAAACAAGTGACTGTGAGAGTGAGAAGATGACAAGAGACACTTTGAGTGTTCTTTGTTTCTTGAGGAACTGGCAGCCACTGCAAGATTTCAGTGCCAATGTGTTAAATCATCACAGTCCTATTCCTGCTCAGAATTTCCTCTCTTCAACAGGAGGATTAATTTTACACGTGCATCAGTGCACTAGCTGCCACTCTATGAAATGCTATATATGGTATTTCATCTTCAACCGAGAATGACCAATATTACTTTATGACCATTAGCCACACTGGTCATGGTAATAGAATATAACAGAACTAGTGATGTTTTAAAACTTTAAAAACTTCACATTTTAAAAACTGGTAAAGATTAATATTTATATAAAAAATATTAATTATTATTATTATTATTAGGGCTGCCTTTGACTAAAGATTTTCTTAGTTGACTATTAGTCATTCATTAAAGCAATAAGTCGACTAATCGAACATTTATAGTATTCACTTAATTACTTAAAGTTCATGACATGGCGGCGTCAACAACAATACTACAGCGAGAATAAAAGTTACGCCTTTTCGCATCATATGACCCCTTTAACATGAGAAAGGAAAAATTGAAATCGCATCATATGACCCCTTTAAGATATTTTTGATGGAATCTGAGAGCTCTCTGACCCTCCCATAGACAGCAATGTAATTACCACGATCAAGGTCCAGAAACGTAGCAAGGACATCGGTAAAATAATCCATGTGACATCAGGGGTTCAACCGTAATTTTACGAAGCTACAAGAATACTTTTTGAGCGCAAAAGAAAAAAAAAATCAACTTTATTCAACAATTAGTCTCCTCTGCATCACCCTGGTGCCATTTTGGAAAGTATCCACTGAACGTAAATTGCGTATGCTGTTTTGTGTCAGCTGTGCCACGCAGATATGCTGTTTATTATTACGAACCTTGATCTTGTGAGGACCCTTGCTGTCTATGGGAGGGTCAGAGAGCTCTCAGATTCCATCAAAAATATCTTAATTTGTGTTCCGAAGATGAACGGAGGTCTTACGGGTTTAAAACAACATGAAGGTGAGTAATTAATGACAGAATTTTCACTTTTGGGTGAACTATCCCTTTAATTTGCAACATCATTCTACATTACAGAGAAATACTAAACCACGTTAATATGAATTAAGCACTTAATGCACACATAAAAGCAAAAATTATTACCATGAATATGTCGAAAAACAGCAAGGAGACTGCCTAAACATTTTTATAATTTATTATTAAAGGGGTCATATGATGTTGCTAAAAAGAACATTATTTTGTGTATTTGGTGTAATGAAATGTGTTTATGCGGTTTAAGGTTCAAAAAACATTATTTTCCACATACTGTACATTATTGTTTCTCCTCTATGCCCCGCCTTTCTGAAACGCGTCGATTTTTACAAAGCTCATCGTTCTGAAATGCGAGGTGTGCTCTGATTGGCCAACTATCCAGTGCGTTGTGATTGGCCGAATACCTCAAGCGTGTGACGG